TATTTGATGAAATGGAGACGAGTGATTAGGTTGAATAAATGTATCCACATATTGAGTCAGCACAACTAAACACTGTACGTACCAACTAAGAACGCATGAAAGTTAATTAGCGAGTGAGCGGAGGAGTTGAAACAGTTGAGACAGTTCTGAATGGATGAAGTAGATGAAAGTCCGGCGTAACCTGTTAAGATAATCGGCTAAATTTTTCGCTAAAAGTAACCGGAAAATGGTTGAAAATCAAATCGGTAGCAAAGGTATAGCTATAGCCAGATGATGCAATGATAATGCCAACAAATATTCTGTCGAGGTGTCTAGACTCCACTTCCTCTTGTGAAGCCCCGTTGGGGCTGTGCGGTGGTGCACCTGTATCCTCTCTCATTCGCTCGGAGGCCTCTCACGCTCTCCTTTTTTCTACCTCTTCATTTGACTAGAGGCTTCTTCTGTTTTTTTTCAAAAGCGTATAATTCTTGAAATGCCAAGACCTGGAAATCTCATTGATCTGAGAGAGAGTCTGTCGGTGACTGACATTTGACAAACACAACATGTGCAGTCCATGCAAAAGGCAGTAGGCGTCAGGCCAGCTGACATTTTGTACTTGTATAAATGAAAATCATCACAGGGTGGTACGCTGTATACCAACACAGAAAGTGCATGCACCACCGCGTGCACACGGCTTCAACATCCACAGCTACTATGATCACCGTCCTCCATCCTCGGAATAAATGGCTAAACACAGTAAAAACAGTACCGCCATTGCTGTGCCCTCTTCCTCCTCCTCTTCTTCATTATAAAACACCAGCCCGGCCGATGCAGTGGGTGAAAGCAGTGTGTATGCATGCGCCCACCCGTGTATATCATGTGCCTCTCGGTAGTGTGTGTTTTACGTCTGACCTGGCAGGCAGGGCTGACAGGGCCGGTAATCAGCTTAATATTCACAGCGAGCGAGAGAGAGAGAGAGCGAGAGCGAGAGCGAGAGAGCGAGAGAGCGAGAGAGCGAGAGCGAGAGAGCGAGAGCTCGGCTACAGCTGAGAGGGCCAGGGGCCAAAAGAGGAAAGAGGCAAACGTGTCCGTCTCTCTCCTCCTCGCCATAGGTGGACAAAGAGCTTGCGATCGCAGCAGTGTTGTAAAAATTGTAGGTGGATATTAGTCATTTCAGATTCCATACTGTTTAAGTTAGTTTTACGGGGTCTTATATAGGCAAACACTTTTTGTCTTGTTTTGCTTCTCCTGGAAGTCAGACACAAATGAACAGATAGCTGAACCACAGTGATACTTCTACACACACTCACGAGTGGCAACACGTGAAAATGTCAAAGCAGCTGCATGCTGACAAAAAGTCGAAATGTAAAGCCGAAGAGTAATATTCATTACGCACTTTCGAAAGACTATGCCTCCATTTGTTTTCCTCTCAATTTGATCGCCATCACAATGACAGTGTTCTCGTAGCCAGCGTGGAAGTGCATCGCCTGCCTAACACGTCCACCGAGACACATTGTTGTTGACCATGCCCACACACACACACACACAAACACACATTGGCATGATCACAGACGACACAGGGCGATGAGGAGTCGGGTGGAGTTTCCTGTCACATCAGACCGTCACAGTTAACTGAACACGGAGGTTATATTTGCATGAGGTGAACCACCGGTCTCGAAGGCCAAAATTCATACAGACGGCTGAGTCATCGAACTTCTAATGATACTTCAGCGAGCGTCACTTCCGTCTCTAGGCACAGAAAAGACCGGTCGCATATAGATGGTAATACGATTAACAAATTCAGAGGCTTACTGGATTCTTACGTCAAATCTATGTTGTTATGTCTTTTTTAAAACACTGTTTCCTGTATTCGTCCACCGCAGTGACATTACAACCTGGATTCGCACACCCTCCGAGATGCTTTAAGAAGACCCCGCTGGTTATTTTTAACCGTTCAGCTTATAGAAAATGAAACAAGCAGCTCGCTACAAGGGGTTCTGTGAGGCCGACACACACGCTCAGTGCTACTGAACTCCCATCTGTGCTTGGGAATACAGACGGGGACTGAAGCCTGGGTTGGCTGAATAAACTTTCCCACCCTGTACCCATCTCTGTTCGACAGTTGGCGTGTGTGTGTGTGTGTGTGCGTGCGTGTGCATCTTCACAAAGCAAAGGGCCCCTTCATTCCCTTCTGGACACTTAGTAACCGAGCCGCGGGCCTGTTTCACACCGGAACGGCCAAGCGAGGCCACACACACCACAAATGTCTCTTTTTCCAGAGTTCCCATACAATAGCACTTGAACATCCCATAATACAGTATGCATGCACAGCAAAAAAAAATGCCCTCCAGGCTAATCTGGCATCTCAGCTAAAGCTACTATACATGACGAGCTCGGGTGAGATCCCATGACAGCACTAAACCATGAGCATCACGGGGGCTTTGAGGAAGTGCTCAAAATATTACACCTAAAAAGAAGAATGGGCAATGAGGCAGAGTAAAGAGCAGCGTTGTGTAGAAGGAAAAAGTTGGACTGGTATGTGCTGCGAGGCGTGTGTGTGTGTGTGTGTAATACATCTTGTCTGAGAGAAAGACGGAGGGAGAGAAAGTGTGTCAACTCCAGGGTCACACCACTCACAGGGATCTCCCCCTAAAGGCTAGTTCTGTAATATATATATATATATATATATATATATATATATATTCATCCTCACAATAAGATGAGACCCGATGGGCGGGGAAGGAAATCTTTTGGACAAGCGCTCACACATGATCACACACACTGTAAACACTGGTCACATGTGTGTGTTCCAGCAGCATCTGTGCGGTCCACAGTGCGTCCCCGTCCTGTGCACGACGCTGGATGGCTGGCTGCGGCATTCGACGGGCCGATTGTCATTTTGCTGTCGTCTCATGACCCCCATGATGTCACGCTCTACTTTTAGAACCAAACAACAATGAACATCACACACAAATATGCATTGAGGGGGGAGAAGGAAAAACAAAACACAAGCCTGGCTCACGTGACCGAGCTTGACAGACAGGGAGGACGGGAAAACAAGAACCTTTTTCTGTAGATTTGTGGTAAATATGACAGCGCGCAGGATCATACGGAAACTTGTGATTAGGGACAGACAAATGGTTTCTGTTCATCATATCTGTCTCCTCTACTTCTCTTTTCTTTCTTGGTTGGTCGGTTATTTACGTCTCCAGGCCTTTGTCTTTCTGTCTTTGTCTCTCAACTTGCTCAACTGAAAACAGAAGCAGCAGCATCCTCAGCTGCTAACGGCTGCTCATGAGGTGATAAATACATTGATGGTCGTAATATGATACGGTAAATAAACACAGGGCTATTATGACAAATTCCAATAGTCAAATCATAGGGCTGAAACTAATGGTTATTTTCATTATCGATTGACACAAAACGTCCATCTCAGAGCTCAAGACGAAGTCTCCAAACGTCTTGAGCTTTGTCCGACCAGCAGTCCAAAACCCAAAGACCTTCTATTTACAATCACATACAAACAGAAAAAGGGGGAAATACTCACATTCGGGAACCTGGAGCTAGTGAATTACTTGGGCACGTTTGCTGGATTTACGATAAATCATTTCCTGCTGATCGACTAATCAATGAATCCATTTATCATTAACAAAGAAGGGGGGAACCTTGAAGACCGAAAGGCACGAGCCACCAATCATCTCAGCATCTACAACATACACACCACATCTATTGCACGTCTGTCTCTCCTCCGATGCTCTTGTGGTTTTTGGACTATACAATAAGACATGACTGCAATTAATACTGGGGATTTCATGTACTATGGATCAGTATCAGCAGCAGCAAAGCATCCACAGCGAGTCATTACATCACTGCGTGTTGGCGAGGGGGGGCTGGCATACAGATTTACAACTCAGCGAGTCTGCAACAGCAGCAGCACGTTCATGTTCCTACTCAACGTCCACTGGGTGGATATAGATGGTGATAATCACGGGATCGAAACGGAGTGCTGCATTCATTAGATGGCAGCAGGACAGCTTACACATGTGTGTATGTGTGTGTGTGTGTGTGTGTGTGTGTGTGTGTGTGTGTGTGTGAGAGAGAGAAACGGAAGTAGGTGAACCTGTCATTTGTGCACAGGCCTGCCTGCCATGATGGCTGTGAAAACGTCTCCGATGCATTGACATGGTGTATGTGTGTGTGTGCGTGTGTGTGTGTGTACCCTGCTGGCCGATGGGTCAAGGGGAGGCGATACGGGGGGGGGAGAGAGAGAGAAAAAGGGCGATACATGATGAAAGGGAGTGAAAGCGGTGTTGTGAAATCGAGCCGGCTGAAGCATCAGATCCACTCCTCTCTCTCCTTATCATAGCGGGCATCTCGTCCCTCTGTGCGGAGATAATAACAAAAAAATCCAACGCCGTTATCAGCTCATACAATCGCCGCTTTTCCCCTGATCCATCTTTCATCAGCGCACTTGCTACACAGTGAAAAAAGAGCTCTCCTCACCCCACCCATCTCAGTGTGAGCTACGGTGCCGACGTTAGCTAACGGGGATCCCATTCATGTGTCAGAATAATCCGCGGAGGGGAGAGAAAAAAACACGGGGGACGTTCAATCCGGGTCAAGCGGCGGCGATTTAACAGCGATCGGGCTGAATATCGTGTTTGTGCACGGACAGATAAGTAACGGGAAGGATGCACGGTGCGAGGAAGGGAGTAAAGAAAAAGAAAAAAAACCCAGCCCTGTAGTGTCTCCAGCCATCATCACTACCGAGCGCACATCACCAGCCCCGTTCATCTCTAGCGCTGCGGCTCCATCCATCGCTACATTTGCCACATACCTGTAAATTGCATGTCCGTCCGGCGAGATCCAGAGACGGGCGGACGGTGTCGCGGTGTGCGACCGTGAGCCAATGTTTCTTTTTTTCTTCTTTTTTTTCTTCTCTTCTTCTTCTGTGCCGATTGATGCTCTAGTTTCGCCCCGCTCCAACCCAGAGAGCTAATCCACCCCACACAAAGAGCAGAAAATGGCTGCAAGTGCATTTTCTTAAAGGGACAGTCACAGCGGAGTGATAGATGATGGCGAGCCCCCCCCACACACACACACACACACACACCGACATGTTGATTCTATTCATTTGAGTTGGGAAAGGAAAATAAAACATAAATACACTCTTAATATATTACTGCCATATAGTGTATATAAATGTTGTTTTATTGACTACATAAAGTGATGATACTGGACAAAACTAAAAAGTACTCTCAGACCCCTGGTGGCAAGATGTTATTGGGTCCATATTGCCCCACTTGTTATTTTATTCCTAATAAATCATACAGCTATAATTGTGTTTAGCTTGTGCTTATATTTCTTTGAAAAAAAAAATAACATTTGATCATTTCAAATGCGTATAGAACTTACCAGAGGGCATGATTAACGTATCTTCTATGTATATTGTACATGCGCTATATAGGCTAACCCACATATTCAATTATTATCATTATTATGTTGTTATGATGTTTGTTGGTTCAGTGACTGGCTAGATGACTGGCAGATTGGTTTATTGAGTTAATGGTTGGCTGCATGGATGAACTCAGTGAAATTAAAGGTGCTCATCCAATGCATGAATACATCTTCCTATTAATACATCTGTGCTCATAAGCCATGTGCTTCTTATCTTTCTATGGCTACACTTTCCTAACAGCTTGCCCACATTAAAATAGGTTCTATAGGATGAAATAGTCTTTTAGATATGCATGATGATCAGGGAATTTTCTTCAAAATATTTGTTTCTGTTGTAGTAGATGTTAAAATCCACCTTATGCAGATATTGTGTGTAGGTCTTTCTGGGCCAGAGATCATAACGTGGTAGTTCCATCTTTGGCCACTACACCTGCAGAGCACAACGCCTGGCTCGGTGGACTGACAGGGGGAGATTGATCATTCACCTGTTTTGTTGCTACGTGTTCACTTGAATAGCACGGAAGAGGATTGTATTGTGCAGCGGTTTGAAGAGTTTCATTATTGTGTACTGCTGAAAATATGCAGAAAACGTATGTGAGAAAAAAAAAACAGGTACAACAATGGATCCATTTAATTATCAATGGTTTCACCCGTTGACCACCTCACCTGTTTAATGTATAGAAGCCTTGTAGAATATTTGAAACTTTAATATAAACATGCAGTAAGCAGCAGTAGCTGTGTGAACGGGCTGTGTGAGCCTTCTCAGGAATATACTGTATACAGAGATACAGTAGGAAACAGATAAAGTGCAAAATCAAGGAATTTTAAACTATCTTGTGTTTTGTAATCATCTTAACCAAGACAATGTCACTGACATTTGACGAGCAATCGGTAATACATCAACAAATAAAATAAATAGCTGTTTTCATAGTTTTCAACCTCAGATCTTGTCTTCACAGGTCTGAGAGGGAGGCCAACTCATGTAGGAGGAGAGTAAAGGATGGACGATCTTCTGGTTTCTGAGAATGAGAATATGAAGACAAAAGCGTTATTGCAAGTCGTTTTGCACATTGTGTGTCTTTTTTTTTAAAAAATGTCAGCAGTTCCTCTACCAGGAATCATTTATCGTGCCCACCTCCTTCCAGCACCACTCCATGAGCAGGTGGATGGCGTCTGGGGCCAAGCGTGGCTTCAGGAGCCTCAGGCCTTTGTTCAGGGACTCCACAACTTCACCATTAGAGCGGTTCTCATAAGGAAGACGGCCTTCGTTGTACACCTCCCACATGAGCACACCTGAGCAGGGGAGAACAGGAAGACTCCGATTGTTACAGAATAAACACACCTTCAGTTCTACCAAAAACAGTTCTTGTGTGTCTGGTTTACCATTTGCATCTTTGTGGTCGTTCCATGTCAGCTCTTTTGCGTACACTATTTGGAATGATTATGACAAGCCTCATCCAAAGTAAGAGGACTGACTGTTGACTTAATTATAGACTGCCTATAGAGCCATGTGCTCATCAATTCAGCAGCACTTTTTAGCTACATACAGTCTTGCATTGTCCACAGACTTCATATAAAAAAGGAGATACCATCTCTTAAAACACATTGTTATTTTTGTCCAGTCTAATATTTATTACTCAGACGGATTATTTTAATAATTAATTAGTAGAAGTTGTAATTAAACCTATTTATTTTTACCACACTTGCCAGTTTAAACTCCTGTTTTGGCGATGGTCCCAATACTATTAACTTCTTGGAGATCACTGCATATCCACAAGTTGGCATTGCTCCATGACAAGAGCTACCAATACTTATGGTCTTTGGCACATGTGCAGACATGCACAAGGACATAAACCTATGAAATATATTAAATGAAAAAAGCTGTCTTTTCTTCAGAAATTACAATCATTTCGTTTGCCTCTTAAAGTGGTTCCAAATCATTGCGGTCTCGTTTAGCTTCAAGTTTCCACCAGAGTCGATATGCTATCATGGACAGACAAAGGATTTTGATGTGTAGTCAACCAGCCAACAAAACCTGCTGTTTTCCTGTGAGCGATACACGTGCATTCTCAAAATATATAAATGATTAAAAAAAAGTCAAAGGAGGGATGTTGTATGACTACAAAGACAACAAGTCTGACACTCAAACGCACAAAATAAGTGAAAGGCCCAGAGATAGACGGATGAACACACCGAATGACCAGACGTCGGACTTGCTGCTGAACTTGCAGTACTTGATGATCTCTGGCGACGACCACTTGACGGGAAACTTGGAGCACTGGGAGCTCGTGTACTGATCATCAAGCACAAACCTATGGTATACAGAGACATCATTTGCTGACTTTGAGCTATACAAACATAATAAAGGTGTGATTAAAAAGTTCCACACAACATGGTGGACATTTCAGAGATTCAGTGAGGGGCGTACCTGGTCATACCGAAGTCAGACACCTTCACCTCATTGTTCTTTGAAACTAGACAGTTCCTGGCAGCCTGCAGAAGACAGAGAAACAGAGGAAGGATACACTATTATAACGGAGTGGAGATCCATAAGTTTATCGTACAAAAGTTCTGATCTGTTGGTTTACCAGGTCTCTGTGGATGAAGTTGGAGGTCTCCAGGTAAGCCATCCCCTCACTGGCATCCAGACACATCCCCAACATCGTTTCCTGAGACAAACGCCCTTTCCTGGCTCGCAGGTAGTCTGACAGGCAGCCGTTGTCCATGAACTCAAACACCATACACATGGGGGAACACTGGGTGCGCACGGCGTAGAGCTGAACCAGCTTACAATGGGACAGTCTCCTGGCAAAAAACGCGCGCAGACACACACATAAGCAGAGTGGTTCGTTTTTTCCCGGACCGACACGAGGCAACTTCACTAATCGCACTTACATCATGACTCTCGCCTCTTCTTTGAATTCCTCTTCTGACATGCACTCTTCTCTTATCGTCTTCACGGCCACCTTCTTGTCCCTCCACCTCCCTTCCAGCACGAGACCAAACTGGCCGCTGCCTAACTCCTGACCCAAGGTCAGCTCCTCAGGGTCCACTTCCCACTGATCTGTTGAGAAGCAAACACGGATAATCTTGTGTTGAGATTAAGGGTAACATCAGTTTAATCGATGACGATCAAATAATTATGAAGGTTTCGGGTTCCTTGCACAACACCAAACAGGTCAGATAATTGTCAGGGAGTGCTGAACGCACCCTGGGTGAGCATGCCTCCGTGAGAACCACTAGAGGTCAGAATAAAATCATCAAGTTTTGATTGTTTTCCTGCTCCAGTTCAACCAGCACATCATCTAACCTTCTGCGGGATCAGCGATGTCCTGAGAGCAGCCTCCATCTTGAGGTACTGGGTGTCGCAAACGAGTTATCAGGCCTGCCGCACAGATGACACATCAATATATTATCATTTTTAATAAATAACAATAACCCTTTGTTACAATGTTCAACTGTTTAATCAGCTGAACTTCCTTTTGGCAACCAGTACATGTTTGTGTGTGGGTGTGTGTTCACACAGCGACATGCAGTAAGACCACTTACCGGCAGCATTGTGTTGATGGTAATGAATGAGCTCAGGAATGGTGCTGAACAGGTACTTCTCTGCCAGGTAGAACCTGGCCTCACCAGTTTCTGTCAGTTTAATTTGATAATGTTTCACTCTTGGATTCTTCTCCCCATTGGACCTAAAAGTAGCAAAGAGATGCTTTTTATGCAACGAATCACACGTGAAAAGGGAGCATTTTAAGTGGGAAATGTTCACAGTAAATAACAATCAGCAGCACATGAGATGAGAAGAATGTCATTGATTTCAAGTCGCGTTCCTTCTAAACATAGGCTCCAGCAGGCGCGTCAACCTAGTTATTCTGGAGCAATACACATGGTTTTATTGTGTAAATATTTAGACAGTTTTAAATTGGATAGGAGGGGCAAGGTTGGTGATGTAAGTGTATCTCTGTATGCATGAATGTGAAAGAATGTGTATGTATGGCTGTTCTTAAATGGACCCTGGTACCAACTAATGGGGGTCCAAATAAACAATAAACATGTCATCAAGTATATCAGATGTATTTATGTTTAGCACCATACTATCTACTTATCATATGTCATTAATAAACCAAGTAAATACATAACAAGGACGTAAGATTACCCCGGTGATTTGGTGAAGACTGACACTGTGTAGACTCCTGCCTGTCTCGAGTCACGCACCATGAAGGCGCCTTCTTTTCCCTAAAAGTATAAAACCACATAATATTATCATGATGAAGCAAAACATTTGTCATGTTAGACGTGTCTTTTGATTGTTGGTTGGATATGCAGCTGATACCAGGGCTGTCCTAGCAATCATTTTGAGTGACAGATGATGGATAGCTGTTCTACCTCCCGCTTGCAAAAACCGAGCAAAAAACACTTCACAGCAGGAAATTCAACATGGGAGGAAACACTGTGGTTGTGAAACAATTTTTTCGTGTTTTTGCGCAGGTGCATTTGCATTCACTTTGCAAATGCGAGACTGCCGTAGGTTGCACAGTCACAGCAAAGTGCACTGCATCGCACGGGGGCAACATCCTGCTAATTGTCATCAAAATTATTATGAGGAGCATGTTTTCTGTCGAATAATCACTGGATCCTTAAACACTGACGTTGCCTTTACCTGTTTCATTAACAAATCCTCTGCAGCCCCTCTGGTTATGTTTTTGTTGTACCATCTGTGAGAAGACAAATCAACCACAAATAAGTTAATTGTATAAAGGGCAAAACAGATTTGCAAATTTCCACATGTTAATGGTGAGAAGCACTCACTCAAATCTCTGAAAGTTGTTGCCAGATTTTTCAGCTATGTACCTACTGGGTACAAAGCCTGTGTTTCTGATAAGGGGTCATGGAAAAACATACATTAGCAGTATACTCATACGCATATCATCCATCCTATAAAGGTGCTATTATTTTCAGTGTAAGTTGTTACGAAGTCTGGGATCTTCATGCGCCTCACCCCTTGTCGTCCTGTACGGCCCACCAGTCACAGTGGCAGCTGTTGATCAGGGTGTACTCCTGGTCTTTCTGAAGGGGCAAGTCGTCGTTTTTGAGCGGTTTGTAGTCCTGCAGGGCGATGACCACGCTCTGTTCTTCATCATGCAGTCCCATCTGGCAGAGACAGCGAAAAAGAAAACGGCATCTAATAATCTAAAATCTATAAGGGATGTTATTCTGCTGTATGAATTCCATCAAACTCTTCTGTTTTGGCGATATATGCTGTGTGCAACACTTTTAAAAACACAAAAAAATGCTTCACCGCACGGAGCAGACAAAACACAAAACGGATGTAAACACCCCAAAGAAAGTTACTTAAACTTAACAAGCTAAATCACAAAGCTATTTGGGTCATGTTAGATTGAACAATGAGCATATTATGTCGTACAGCACCCATGAAATCATCAGCTCTAGAGGAGGCACAGCAATCGCAGGAGATGAGCAAAGACACAACAAACCGAGCTGTGAAATCATGTGTGGCCAAACCAAACGTGTATACAGTACCAGCAACAGAATGATAATCTCAAAAAAAATGTATTTTTGTCTCCACCCTGCAATTTGAACAGTATTGACTAACACAACAATGATATTTCAACAGCACATTATATATGCTTTTGAAAGTGTTACCTCTGGATCAGGGAGTTGAGGAAGTGGTTTTTTAGAAGCTGTGGAATGAGAAACATGCAATTAGTGAATGATTTGGTTACAGCCACAATGTACAAAATTGTAATTTCACACTGGATTTTCCAGCTTGCTTGGTTATGTGACACTATTAAATGCAGATAAAGATTTGCCTTAAGCACATGTTAGAAAAACATGACTTTACGTTATCTACGTGAGTGTTTTTTTCTCCATATGAATGATGTCACACTAAATCGAATACACAAATTAGACTTGTGACCTTGATGTAAATATATACAGTATATAAAACAAGGAGAAGAGAAGAAATATTACAAACCATAACCCACTGGGTCATACACATGACAGCCTGTCGCCAGTTTCTCTGTTTGTTGGCAGCATCTCCATTTTCCTTCCATCCAGAAGTTTGGGTGGTATTTAGTGACCAAATTGTTGTGCTTCGTCTCTACATCAGGCATAATGAATGAAATATAGTTTGAAATATCGAGCTCATGAATTACAATAAAAGGGTTTTTACAATAATTTGTTGCACCACCATTGTTTGTGCATACGATGTGGTAGAATTGCTCACCCTCTTTCAGAGCTCTGACCCATCTCTGACGGCAATCATTGTCCGGGGCGAAGATGTGGAGGTAGTAGTTGTTGTGAAAAACCTGAAGAGACATTTGTATTTAAAATGCTTTTGTTCTTGTGTTATGTCACACTTATAATACATGCTGAATCATACATTAGACTTACTGTATGTAACACTATATTTCATTATTGTGTATAACCTCACCTGAAAAGGGTACTTGTAGTTGCATGGTATGGGAAGATCGCTACACACAATCTCCACACATTTGATTCTGGACAGCTCGATGCAACCTTTCAGCAAGGGCTTTCTCTGGAAGAACATGATCTGAACTTTATATCTGCTATATGTGGATGTCATTCAAATCATAGTGTTTCCACTGAGGCCAGGTTTGCAGACTCAGCCTCCAGATTGCATCATTTCAAATCAAAATATAGAGTATTAAGTATATACTTACTCCTGGGCGGCGTTCAGAGTACTTCAGGTCTTGGGTGTCCAATACAAAAAACCTCTCTTTGTAGTTGCATGGTGATGTTCTCTTCTTTTGTTGAGATTTTTTTATCAAAGTTCCCTTTAAAATCACCCTAGGGAACATGGTGACAGCTATGAATAACGCTCAGAAAAACACTGGAGGCTTTTGTCTTACGGAGAGAGATTGAGTACCTCGCAGTGACGGGGAAAAAATAAATTGTGGATGACAACTCGATAGAAGCCGTGGAGCTTCCGGCATAAAGTTGCTGCACTCGGTAAACCACATCCTTACGGCATCAAGTGGGTTGTGCTTACAATCACAAACACACACACACACACACACACACACACACACACACACACACACACA